CCAGATAAAAACAACGAGGAGTCCTTGTGGCACCTTAGAGACTAACAAATGTATTTGGGCATAAGTTTTCATGGGCTATAACCCACTTCATCAGATGCATGGAGTGGAAAATACAGTAAGCAGGTATTAAAAATACAGCACATGAAAAGATGGGCGTTGCCTTACCAAGTGGGGGGGGGTCAGTGCTAATGAGGCCAATTCAATTAGAGTAGATGTGGCCCATTCCCAACAGTTGACAAGAAGGTGTGAGTATCAACAGAGGGGAAATTATTTTATATGCTATTATATATTGTATATTTGCACCTGCTAACTGTATTTTTCACTCCATACATCTGATGAAGTGGGTTATCGCCCACGAAAGCGTATGCCCAAATAAATTTGTTAGTCTCTAAGGTGCCACAAGGACTCCGCATTGTTTTTACTGATACAGACTAACACGGCTACCACTCTGAAACCTGTAGACAGATAAATTTCTAATGGAATCTTATAGCTTTTTTAAAAGTTTACATTTGGAGGCTCTCTTTGAAATAACAGCTTATTTACAAATGTAATTTCACAGTGCAACAATTTAGTGGCCATCAAAAGCCTTAATGGTATCCTCTCTCTAACTATGAATCATATAGAGCAGTGAAGCATTTTCCACTAGGGATGGGTGAAATGCTTTGTACCAAGTAAGAACTGATCTGGATGTTTCCCCATCCTTAGAAATTAGCAGCACTGAGATATCATTTCAAAGCTTGAAAAATCTAGTCAGGTTAGTTTGTGCTTTCTGGTTTCCACTGAGAAAAATCAGCCAAAACTAGGAAGTGCTGGGAAGCCAAAACTAGGAAGTGCTGTTTCACTTCTTGCTCACCAATTCCCAAAGGAAAGAGTTTGAGAAGCATCCAAACTTTTCTTTCATATCTAAACTGGCCCTCCAGTAAAGAATATATCCCATTCCTCTCCTTCCATACTCTAATACTCCTTTCCCCAGGTCTGATGTTAATTTACTGTGGTACACGTCAGCTAGGTAAGGCAATAGTCATTGTTTTCACAGGGTCAGAGCACATAACCATCTGATCCTGTTCTCACTGAAATCATTTGCAAACTACTATTGTCTTAAATGGGGCAAGATCAGCCCATTGCCTGGACAGCTGATGTAAAGCCCCCTTACATACATACATGTATATATAAAAAAATTCCTCCTCCAAAATTACATGCAACCTTTAAACCAATAGCAACTGGTGATCTGGCAGTGACTCCGCATTAAATTAGAAAAATTCAGATGCTTAGTTAATGACAAGAGAATGAGGTATCAGACTACACAGCCTGCCTTGTGAGAAATTGTAGCCCAATGTGCCCTCTGCATAAAGAATTACCTGGGTGATAGGTAAAATGCTGTGGCTGACTTCTTTTTCTTTTCCCATTGATGACATAGAAATTCACCTTCACAGGTGTACGGATGTACTTGTTCCGATACTCTGGTATCTCTACAAAAAGCATGCTCTGAAACAATGAAAGGCGGCAATATCGTATTAGAAACTGAAGTTCAATGATCAACAGGCTCTCAGGCAACTACCTCATGGAGTACATAATCTTGGAGGAAGGAAAAGGAATTTTCTTGTTCCCGTCTGAAAAGGAGGTTGTGGGGAAAGAAGGGACAGGTGGGTTAGGACTGGAAGATTTCTGATATCAGGAAACTGGTTTTTAAATGTCACATCCTCTATGGCTTCTGTTGCTAGTGTCCCGATGTTGAAAAGAGAAGTCTCAGCTAAAGATAGAACACACACAATACTGATTAATGCTTCAGTGCTTTAACTACTCTTATGCACTTGATAAACATGAAATGTAATTATTCTATATATGTAGTTATTACTTTTTTACAATCTGATCCCACTGATCCAACTTCCATAGCAACAGCGCCATTCACTTC